TCTCGTCTCTACTCTACTCTCTCTCTCTCTTCTCTCTCTCTCTCTCTCTCTCTCTCTCTCTCTCTCTCTCTCTCTCTCTCTCTCTCTCTCTCTCTCTCTCTCTCTCTCTTTTCCTTCCTTCAGATTCTGCAGATTCTCTTTCATAGCATAAATTAATAGCATTCATTATTTTTATATTTTTAATATTATTCTTTATTTAATATTATTCAATAATACCGATGTATAGCAATAACAAAAATTTGGTAATAAATTTTTTACAATTGATTTAGAATGTTGCGCAATCTCTCATTATAAATATATAAATGAGTTAATGAATTTATTTAAATTTTCTGTTTTTAATAAAATTTGCAAATTAAATAAATAGTTATAAATTTAATTAATGTTATTACTATTTAATTGTAAATCAAATATATGGAAATTTTGAGGATCTTCTGTAATTCCCCTAGAGGTACAGATATGAGAGATACAAGATTTAATAAATATAATCAAAAATCATAAATTTATTTATTACAAGATCATCATAAATAACATTTTAAAATTTAATATTAATAAGGCTTTGTGATTAATTTAAGATCTTAAGTACGTACTACCGACACTACTATTAAATATCATCAATTCTGAACAAATTTTTTTTGAGAGATCCAAAGATAATTGAAGAATATCGATATTATTATATATCTATACTATTGCTATAAATTTATGATACTATTTATGATACTATTAATATAAATTTATGATCGTTAATGTGAATACTTCAATAATAAATTATTCAAATTCATGATTTATGATACAAATAATAATAATACAAATAATTATACAAATGCTCTAAATTTATGATTTATGATACAAATAATGATACAAATGCTATAAATAAATATGTACATTTTATTGTTATAATATCATATATATTGCTGTAAAATTATAATATTTTTTATAATTGTCATTTTTATAGATAAGAATAATCATAATAAAAAAATTATAATTAAGCATAAATGGTAACTATAAAAATTTTTAAATAAAGTTAGACACGAACTAGTGTGTGTGTGTGTGTGTGTGTGTGTGTGTGTGTGTGTGTGTGTGTGTGTGTGTGTGTGTGTGTGTGTTTATATATAGGATATCACATGAAGTATTACGAGGTGTTTTCTCTGAAATTATTAAAGACAGTGTAAAAATTTTTTATAGTTACAACTTTATAATTTATTAAATCTTTTTAATAACAGAAAGAGGACTATCACTAGTCCCTCTAAAAAGGAACAAATAATTGATACTCCAATTTTTTAATGAAGTTATATGATTTTTTTATATAAATTGTGATTCTTCTAATTATTTTATATATATAAGCGTTAAAATAAAGTTATCAAAAGAATCAATAATTTAATATTGAATCTTAATATTGTTATATATACAATAAGGAATCATATCATATAAAAAAATCAAATAATTTCATTTAAAAAAGACACGGGTGTAATATATATAATAATATATGTATAATATATAATAATTTTGCAAGTATTATTACGATTTTTCTGATTTATTTCACCTGCGTATGAATTTATGTTCAAATAATAAAGGCAGATTTATAGATAATAAGTTCAAATAACAAAGAAAGATTTATAGATAATAATTTATTTTATAAAACAATTTATATTTTCTATATAAACGTGTAGCATAAATATTTTGCTATATGTACATTAAAGAATTGCTTTGTATAAATACATATAGTAGTTTTAATATGTAAATCACATTTATATAGAAATTCGTAATTACGAATAAATCATTTGTAGGAAATTATAGAATAAATATTATAACTACGATTGAAAAAATATATTAAAGATGTCATATTTTACGTTATTACAAATTTTTTTTTATAGTGTTTTAATATTTTAGTTTTTTATAATTTATGTGATGCTTTAAAATCTTGTATAATTCGAAGTACATACGTATAATGTAAAAAATATGCATACATGTATATTTATTGCATATTATATATAAAATATAAAATTCTTTCTTGATTCCGAGTATTTTACGAATTACATATAATATTATGTTTTTATATTGATTATAATAATATTAAGTGTAACTGAATTTATTTTGCGAATTTGCGTCGTCAAATTATTATCATTTGTAATAGTAACAATAATACAAATTAATAAGTAGAAAAGTCCATTATTACAATTTTTTTTTAATATCTTTTGTGTATTATTAATTATTCACAAACTTGCCAATTTTTAACGATGTAACATTGATTTTTATGTTTATATCAGTGAAAAAAGTATACATTTATAAATCTTACATCGTATTTCTTTTCCAATTTTCCAATAAAACATGTACATTTATAAATTGCTAAGTACATTATTTAAATCTGGATCATCACATCTTAAAACAGATATTAGAATCTTAGCCCTTTCACAAGCAATTATTAAATTAGAAGCAAATCTATAGTCATCTTCTATCATATTTATAATACCCCATCTTTGGCACAATGTTAATTTCAAAGTTGTAGGGTAGATCTTCGAAATATTTAATTTAACAATATTCTGATAGAGTTGATATAATGAAGTATTTTTAAAAGTTTTGAATCTATTATCTCCATCTAATAAAACAGCACAAGCCGTAAGTAATGGAATTATATTATCATAATTGCAATCTAGCATAGGAATAACTGAAGCAATCCATGGTGAACAGAAAGTATTAGGAAGATAGAAATCGGGAAATGCTGCAGAAGGATACATAAAAGTATTTATGTTATTGTGATAAAGCATATCATACGTTACGCTTGGGAAGGAGTGTGCTATTCTCTTCAGAGTGACATTTTTTGGATTAGAAATGTTTGTGTCAGTACATATATAATATTTTTTATTCATTATTACTACTAAATTCTGTATTAATTGTAATTTTTCAAATTTACAACTTATTTCTTCAATATGATATAAAAAACATAGAGTTATGATTATCAACGTAAAACATCATATTATTAGAAAAGACGTATCTTTTACTTTGTCGTTAGAATTGTATTTATAAACAAATGTTTCTAGAAGATCGGGTTTTTCCAAAATCATATTCATACAGTTTCCATGTATTGTTATCATATATTCAATAATCCATCGTGGACTGAAATTTTCTATGGGATGCAAAACAATATCAAGGGGGAAATCCTTCAAAAAGGTGATCTCGAGGATGTTGGAGGAAAATCTTTGGGGAAATTTCTCCAATATATCTACTAATACGCGTAATGGGCAAGTATCTTCTATATCTATCTGTTTGCAATCAGTTATCAGATCCATATTTAACAAATTAAATTGATATAAATATATATATATATATATATTAATATATCAATATATTTCATATAAATCGGATAAATTATCACTTCTTAAATTTTACGTTGTTCAGTCTTTTGAAATAACTCTTGATATCTCGATTCTCTTAGACTTCTTAAATATTTTCTTTAATGCCAGTCCAACATGGATGCAAATTAATTTCTGTGTTTCAAAATACATAAATACACGTAAGTTTCATAATAATTGTAGATAAAAATATTTTAACATATAACATTTTAGACGTGACTTTATTCGATAAAATCATAATTCTATCAAAAAAGATTATCATAAAAAGATTAATCAGAATAACAACATAGTTTTTTGAATTTCCACGTTTTGAAATTCAAGTAATATATATTTAATATTTAAAATACGTACTTGATTGAAATTAATACAGAATCTGTATTTGTATTTCAGTAGTTCTGTATGTATTTCAGAATATCAATTCTGAAAAATATGTGTGTCACTTTATTTTAAAGTATTAAACTCCGTTTTACAACCGGCAATCAGATGAGTCTTTCTACCAATAGATGTAGATAGAGTTTACGAAGAAAAACACAGAAAAGTTATAAGTATATTTAGATCCAACAAACTGTATGTCTTTCTATAGTACAAGTCAAATATTCGCAATATAAATAAAAATAAACAAAGAACTAAATTTGTTTTGTAATTGTTAGACATTAATCTTTGCTTCTTTCCTCGTCCCTTTCTTTTACCTCTTCTTTTTCTTCTCTTCCCTTTATTTCTCTCATTTTATGCATTAAATGTATTTTGTATAAATTTTTATACAAATATATGCACATAAACAAAACTTGAATAAAATATTTAAATTATATGTAAATTATATGTAAATTATATGTAAATTATTCAAAAGATAAATTGCAATAACGAATATGATACAAAATAAATTACAAGTTACAATAAATATTATGTGTATATTAATTACATTTAATGAATAAATAAAAAATTATTGTATGTCATTATTTCTTACTCTCTTAAAAAAATGTTTTATTTTTATAATTATGTATATTTATAAAATATAGATATTAAAAAGTTTATATATTAAAGCTAACAAATGTATGTAATTCAGATATGTATATGTAAAATGTATATCATAAAAAAAATTAATTTATCATAATTATTACATTTCAGATAATATATGTTCTATACAATAAATATAAATGATAAAGAAAATCAATTTTTATAACATTTTCATTTAATTAGAAGCTAAATATAAAAATTTAAAAAAAGAAAAAACTCTAATAAATTATTAAGTTTTGATAAAAAAAAAATATGTGCAGTATTTGTTTCACATAATTCAGTATTTAATTAGAATCTTTAAGAATCTTTTAAGAATTTTCGTTCCACTTCATATTATTTTATTACTTTAATAAATCATAAGAAGATGAAAATAGGTACAAATAATAATAATAGATATTAATAAATTCCTTATTCTTTCGATGATTTATTCTACTGTACATAATATACCTTACACATATGTATATATATATATATATACATCTTACATTGAATGCTTTGTAAAACTTCTTATACACGAATAATTTATGTATTAATTATAATTTATACGTATATACAATAAGTTAACAATTTTAAGAGTAGGATATGAAATTATTGAGAATTATAGGCTACAATGAGTATTGAATCAGCACGGTTGATGAGCTCACGTGGAAGCATCACTGCCGTATTTTTGTATGTCAGTGCCGCCAAATAAGCGTTGTCTTTACAATTTTGTACTCCATAAGCTGGTTATATTGTATATATATTACAAGGTGCATATAATATAACACTATAGAGAGATATATAATTCGAGGGAATTCATATAAAACATTTGACATGAAATTTTCCGATTTCATGGACAATTGCAGTTCCACTTCAACGTGATTACGTAAAAATGCAGTTGACGAGGATATATCTTGATATTAAGAGGACACAATGTACATTTACGTACAAAAGTAACATGAATATTATGCATCAGTCTAAAATGATCACAATACATATCGGCTACATGAATTATTTCTATATAACACACATTTGCGCATTACTAATCGTTAGTACCTCTTACAAAAATGACATACTAATTTAAAACCTCAGAATTTTTCTGCATAACAAAAAAATGCTCCATTTTTTTTTTTTACTAAAAGACTATTAAAATAGAGACGAATTTTCTTAGGCAATACATTTTCAATTAGAAAATAACGCTATTGATAATATGATAATATGATAATATGATAATACAATCTAATATAAAGCAAAAAAATGCACTTTTAATATTAGAATAATATTAGAAATATCGAGCAATCATTTCTATTTCTATTTTTTTAAATTAATATTTTTTTCATAATAAAGATATAATTTTGGTATTTTTGGTATTTTCTAACTGTAACTTTGGCTTTTTCGTCTATTATTCTTTTTATTCTATTAGAATATTAAAATCATCAGAAAATTTTAAAATTTTTGGTAACAGAAAAAAATATTAATTTAAAATATATAAAATAGTATTTTTAATATTAAAGAAAATTTTCATCTTCATGATAGTAATACAAATTATTAATTAATTATAAAATGCGGTCGCAAATCCTTGACGATGTAACATTTAGGTCTATAATGGAAATAGAAAAGAGAAAGGAGATATATCTTTCTATGTCCTGGAAACTTTTAATATACTTTTAATATATATTTTAATTATAGCATAGTGAACAACATCAAATCGTTCACTCGATGCCACAAGGGAAGTTATCCTCTCGTTAGCTCTTATTATGTGACATCCTCTTTCAACAGTCAACAGCCGGTTGCACATCTTTTATCTATTAATTGAATACGGACCATTAAAATTCTACACATTATGTCGATAATAAATCGCCGCGATAATTAAAAAAGCTTCACACACTAATAATATAGCGATAAAAAAAATAATTGATTAATTATTTTTAATAACAGTCCGTATTCAATCAATGAGATAAGACGATTGATTGGTGACGGCTGAAAAAAGCGACGCGTAGAGGAAACATTCTTGGCGGCGCCGAGTGAACGAATTGATGTTGCTCACTAAAAGTCGTTTCTGGATTTTTGTATAGAGCGAACATGTTTTGTCTTTAATTTTTTGTATTGCATCATTACGCATTTCTGCCTTTACTTTCCAATTTCAACTTAGTTTCATTAATTTTGTATTATTATACTCTCTTATCTGTCACTTTTGTAGAAAATTGGAGGTTTCAAATGTTAGCCGTATGGCTTCTGTAAGTTGAGCCGGAGCCATCCAATAGAGAAGAAGAAGAAGAAGGTATTGCTCACTGTACATGTTAGTGAAAGAAAAGAGAAATAAAATAGCAAAACAAATAGCAGACAAAATGCATACAACAAGATTATTCGAGTTCACGATTATTCAATTTTTATTTTATTTTTCCAATTATTTAATTTTATATACATATATTTATATGTATTGAAAAAAATTAAGAAAATAAACTGAGATGAGATTACATTAAGATATAAATTTATAACGTTAAATGTAATCTTTATATCGAGTTAAATCGTCAAGAACTTTGAAACAAAATGATATGTTAAATATTAATATTTTGAATGGGCATACATAAGTTAATGATCTCATAATTTCATTTTGGCCACAATAACGAGAGATTTGCGACATAAATGGGCATAATATATTATGCAATAAAGTATTAGAAAAGATATCAGACTTCTTAATTCTTAATTATTCATTTAAGTCCTGAATCAGATCATCATTAATAAGAAACGCTTGTAAGATTGTTGACTTTAGGAATAATTTTTATAGTAAATAATATTATCTTATCTCATGTTGCTTACAAAAACTAGCTGAGTATATCAAATTTGTAGTATCAATACTTTTTGATGGAGGCAATATTTGATTGATCAAAAAGTTCATCCGTTTATGTTTCTTGTATGAATGTAGATTGGATGTTGAAAAAAAAAAATGAATAAATCTTTCTAATTGATTTTGGTTTAATAGTTAAAAAATACGGTAAATTAAATATAATTATTTTTGGTCCATTTGCAATACAATTCTTGTCGTCTTGTATTGCAATTACAATTACAATATGTACGTATGTAATGAGTTTGCTATATATAATCAATTAATAATTTAATTACATCAGTTAAATAATAATTATCTCAAATATAAATCACCAAATATTCACGAAAGATAAAACCATATAAAAATTTTTAATAAAGTCATAAGATCTTGCATATACGTATAAATTCTTGGAACATGTACATCTCTTTTATATTTATGGTAATAATTATACATATAACGTAAAATTGTCATGTTAGTACTCACATTCAACGCAAGTTAAATTCAATTTCAAATATATGAAAGCACAGCCATTAAAAATAATAATAATCATACACCAACTTTCTTTTTTACTTGATCATTGTTCGGAACTTGTTACATTGTGTGCGAATATTATGACAATTCTTTAGATTCAAAAAACATTCTCACGCATTCAAAAACCACCATTAGTCCGCATGTACAAGTATAAAAATTATTTTAAAAGATATTTTGCATGCGTTGAAAACATACAGCATTATATAATAATAAAAAAACTTAACATCTAACAGCAATAGTAATGTAAAATGATTAAATGGGATCACATCTTTGGTACACAATGTATCATTGGTATTTTAATGGACTTTATCTTTATCGTGCTAATAATTATGGCAAGATGGGGCCAAATATATTCTGATTATTAATAATTTTTTATCACACTGACAATAGTATCGTTAGTTTTCAAAACAGGACGAGAAGTATATTCTCCTTGTTTAATGTTAAATCTAATATATCTCGCGTTTATCTCTCGTCGTTAATTTGTTGCTCATAAAAGCATATTGTACATACAACTACATCTCCATAACAGTCTTCGGTTCTAATATTAAATCTTTCTAATCTCTCTATTAATAATGAAATTTTCCAACTTTTTTATCGTTTTGTATAACAACAATTGAGTTTGTCATTTGTTACTGTTTAGTTAATCGGCTGTTTCATCAATTAAAAGATATACATATATGTTTCTATTTATGAAAAGCTTGATCGTTTCAATTTTAATAATTAAAGACGCCATAATAACAAATAGATTCTTATTCATAACGTTGGAAAGCCGGATGTATCAGGTTTAAGATTAAAAATATTTCATAATTTGCGATACTTACCAAAAGAGTACAGAATATATGCAACAAATTAATGTACATCGATACGTTTTGACAATACTAACATATACTTGAAATTCCATGAGTCAAGCTTTTCTCAAGAACAATATGGAATTCGCTCAATGGTTCTAGAATATGAATGAGGAAAGTCAATAACGTAGGATTTCTCAAAAATGAATTCTCCTCATACATATCTGCTGTGGAACGTGTGTCACTCATTGGGCGTAACATTGGATGAAGAAGCTGCTCTCTGAAAATTTTACATCAATAAATGAGTCTAAATAACAACGAAATTAAGAATGAAAATAATTATCTATTTTAAAAATGTTTTATAAATTTACCTCGCTGCTAAACAGATAAATAACTGAAATTTTCCATCTTTTCCTAAAGTTTGACTAAACGTATTGATTTGATCCATAAGATGGCAATAACATCTTAGGATCGTGAATCTTTGGCTCCTTTCCGTATAAGCTTTTTTATCTGGGTTAAGTCTATGAGAGTACTGGTTCATTTCCTCCAATAGAAAAATCTCGAAATTTTCTTTTACACGTACTGCAATAACGTCATTTCAATCTATACTCTTTTAATGACTTTTAATGATTTTTTTTTATTTAATCAAAATATACTTACAGAAATAATCCCACACATAAAAGTTTCTTCCAAATATTCTCTGATTTTTAAAGCCAAATAAAAATATTTGTTCCAAGGACGGCACGAGACCACCTTCTCCGCACAACAGAGCCGTCAAAGAACCATCTTGACACTCTCTTCTATAGTGATATTTAACTATAGCGTTTACAGCTTCGCCTATAATATAATATGATATTTAATATTCCTTTAATGACCTTTTAATCTAAATCTAAATTTTAGATTAATTACAATAAAAAATTAATCATCTTTTATTACATATCTATTATTACATAAAATCTATCTTTTATTACATAAAAAGTTATCATCTTTTATTTTATTACATTATTTTCTATGTTATTATTAATATATAAAAAAATTATATAATAATATAATCTAAA